ATTAGGCAGTTCTAGATTTGTTCCATCATACAAATAGGTATAAAATTGTGAAATCTTAGTCTCTTTTTTTGTTTTGTTTTGTTTTTAGACAGGGTCTCACTATGTAGTTGAGACTGACCTGGAACTCACTGTGTAGCCCAGGCTGGTCTCAAACTCACAGTGATCCTCCTGCCTCAGTCACCCGAGTGCTGGGATTACAGGTGTGTGCCACCACGCCCGGCGTGAGATCTTACTCTTTAATAAACATACCCATGTGGAGTGGATTCTGATCTTTAAAGATTTAGTTTCAAACCACAGACACCAAAAAAGTCCTAAAATATAAACCAAAAGAGCCATTATATGCTAAAACAATTGTTTGTTTTTTGGTGAACTTGACTAGGATGAATAACTTGAAATTCCAGTAATAGTAGTTTTATTACCTGTTACTGGAATCATACATCTGTTGCCATAAGTTATTTATTGAGGATATCCATGTACTTTATTCCTAGATACTACAAAGTCTGCAGAGTAAGTAGTACCATATTTTATACTTAGGCAACTAAGGCTTAGAATGACATGTAAGTGATACACTTGGTATTTATACTCCAAAGCTTATGTTCTGCTTTTTGAAAAAGTGATTCACATTTTTAGAGAGAGAGATTCTTCCTGTAAAGCAAGAGGAATGCTCTTTTTTGTCGAGTCCCCCTCTCGTCTCATTTGTGGGATCCCAGTTGACGATCACAGCTGTAGGGAACTACTTGTTTTGCCCTGAGAGTTGAGAAAATTGAGGCCTGATTTAAAGTAACTTGATTAGTAGCAGTTCTTCATGAGTCATTTCTTTTTGCAGGTAAGTACGTAGAACCAGTTTTTATCTTCAGGCCTTTTTTTGCTATATCATCAGCCTAAACTTGAATTATTTTTCTTTTTTAAATTGCCAAGCAATTCTTCCCACTGACCCCAAATTTTCAATATTATTAGGGTTTGTACTCTATAAATCTTTGATCTACCTTAAAGCCTACTTTCTTGTCCAGAGTGAAGAAGCAGCTAAAGGTCAGAAACTGCAAATGATGTCATTTTATGGCAAAGTAAACCAATAATAGCAGCAGTGGTAGAAAAAGCAAGAAAAAGTATTGTTTTATTCATAGTGATATGTTGGTTTGAATTTAGAATTATAGATAGATCAAAGTTAGGATATACAAAGTAAATGGGACTCTGACTATAGGGTGATAATTGCTTTCTGTTTTGAAAATGAAAAACTGAATTCATTTACCTGGAGAGATTAAAAGTATTAATGTATTCTGTAGTAGATTCAAATTTTAGGCAGTTATTTGTTTTTTGTTTGTTTGTTCTTTGTTACTGGCAAGTGCAGGCAGCGGAAGCACTGAGCTAAATCCCTAACCTAGGCAGTTCTTATTTGTATCATTGTCTTTAGTATTAACTTTGTGTCTCTGGGTTTTTTTGTTTCGTTTTTGAGACAGGCTGACCTGGAACTCTTAGTGATCCCTCTGCCTCAGCCTTCAGAGTGTTAATTAAGTATCTTATTTCAAATGATTAGGTAGAAGAGTTAGTTTTGAGGTCCTAGGCATAGAAGACCTAGGGTCTTAAAAAGAATAGTTGCCCTCGATTCTTTTAGTCCATTTTTCTCTTTAGTGAGCAAATAGATTCTTTTCCTCAAAGGTCACTTGGTAGTTTCTGGCCCCATGGTGTAGTAATAATAATATCTGTAGACAACATTAATTTGCTCAGTGTATAATTATGTACCATGGACTGTGCAGACTACTGTATGTATATTCCTAAATTCTACTATGAAATTGTGTTACTGCTGTTGTACTTATTGTATACACGAGGAAAGTGGAATTGTTCTCTATTTGAGGGTGCTGGTATTTATTTATTTATTTTGGTACCAAGGTTCCAACTCAGGACCTTGAGCTTGTGAGGCAGGCACAGCACCACTGAGCTAAATACCTGTGCACCCCCCCACACCTTTGAGACAAGGAGTTGCTATGTAGCTCAGGTTGACCTCAGACTCACTATGTAGCCCAGACTGGTCTTGAACTTGTGTAGATCCTCCTGTCTCAGCCTCCTAAGTGCTGGTATTACAGGCATTCACCACCATACCCAGTTTATTTTTTACTTTAAAATTGGTCATTCAAGACAAATATTGATACTTACTGATAAGATCAAGTAGTTGAGGGTATAAATTGAACACCTCATTTACTTTTATTCTAATTACACAATCATCTTATATTTTTATTCTAATTACACATTCATCTTAAACTAGATCTCTGATTTAGTATACATGAGAAAAGGAAGGGAGGCATGCCAGATGTCATTTGCATAGCTTGGGGGAATATATGTTCCTAATGAGATTAGGAGTTGGGGGAGGGTGGCCAGATGTATTCCTAAATTAGATTTTTTTCAGACTTCTTGAAATAAGTTTTTAAACCTTTTCATTCCCCAGAAGGCCTCCCAAGTCTACATGTGTCTTCCATCCTACCATGACAATTCCCTCATCGCTCATCTCCTGTAGTTGCTGGCAATATCCTAAGACTCACATATAGTGGTCATTTACTTGCTGTTAGATGTAGCCAGGGTCTGGGAATCCATGTATGTAGTAGTTCTGGTGTAATAAATAAAACTTAGGTTAATTTTTGTATATTAAAAGGGGCTTCTAAAAGTTTGGTAACCTCAGATTTAGAAGACAGTGCTAACATATCCAACAGATTGGCTCTTAGTTCCTTATTGATATACTTCAGAACTTTCTTTTGATTGATTCTCAGTCTAATTTTCTGACTCTTGGGCTATTCACTGTAGATAACAGGCATTCAGCTAATGTTTTTTAGATAGTGAATGGATGGAGTATTTAGCCTTAAGATCAGCAGATTGTAAATACTTGCATTTTAGCCTTTATATCAATTTACCTTAGTAGAATTTTTCATCATCTTAGAAATGTGAAAAGGACTATGTGAGTGTCTCCTCTTGGGTTTAGAAAAATGTCCCTGCAAGTCGTGTGTTCTGGTTGTCTTTGCAGCTCGTAGAAGATACCTATCTTTTCAAGAGATTGAGGCTAAAATGGAATTCCAGTCTGTCCCTCTAAGGTCCTCCTGCAGTTTATAAAACTAAACTCAAGTGGGTCATTCTGTTGCTCACCTAGACTTTAATAGGCTAGACATTAGAGTTTTGTTTTATTTTCATGAGATCAGCTATAAGATGGTAAGTATGTACCATTTCCCTTGCTTGGTCTGCTTTTTGTTTTTCCGAAATTAATTGAAAATAATAGAACTAATAAAGCAGATTCTCCTTAGAAGATTCAGTCTGTAAACTAGTGTTTTATTTTTAACAGTGTCAAGCAATAGATGTGAAAAGGTCAGGGAGAGTAAAGAGTGGAACTGGGCATGATGGTCATACCTATAATACCAGCACCTTGGGAGGCTTAGGCAGAAGGATCCAGGGTTCAAGCCCAACCTGGGCAACTTAGTGATTTGATGAGACCCTGTCTCCAATTAAAAAAAAAAAATTTAAAGAGCTAGGAATGTAGCTCAGTGTAAAGGTCCTGTATTCAACCTCTAGAAATGCCAAAAGGAAAAAAGAAAACAGTGATTAGTGGTACTTGGATTTCTTTCTTGAATACCTGGTAGATGGTGGTTATTTGCAAAGATGGAGACCACCAATAGTTTTTATGTGGGGTTCAATTCATAGTTCCTGTATGTAGGAGTACTTTTTTCTTTCAATAATGTTTGTTGTCTTCTCATATGAGTAAATAGAGTTGTATATACTTTTTTGGGGGCATACTGGGGATCAAACTCAGGATCTTGTGCTTGTGAGGCAGGCGGCGGAACCACTAAGCTAAATCCCCAGCCCCTCCAATGTACTTTTTAATGTCCACATTCCTTTTGGGTGGTTTTGTTTTTTACCACATCTTCTTAAATTGTATCTTAAGATATAAAAATGACAGCTATTGTGTGCTGTACCACTGTACTGAATGCTTTATACATATCATCAAAGAGTTGTTGGGTACCTGTCTCATATAGGTGGGGAAACCTTGGGAGGTACAAGGCCTTAGGTAACTAATATCACACAACCAGTAAATGGTATAACCAAAAATTTCAAAGACCTGCATTAAGATATAATTTACATATCATAAAGTTTTTACCTGTCAGTGTATAATTCGTTAGTTTTTTAGTATGCTACAGACCTGTGCAACCATTACCATAATACAATTTTAGAATTTTCTACCAACTCAGAATAAACTTTTGTTATTCACTACCCCTACCTGCCCTCTCTACCAGCTCTTGACAAATGATTTTATTCTAGATATTTCATATAAATGTGCTCATATAATAAGTAGTCTTTTATGACTGGCATCTTTCAGTTAGCATACTTTTGATATTTTTTTCCATGTTTTAATATGTCTCAGTACTACATTCTTTTATGCCAAACAGTATTCCAGGGTGTGGATAAGCCCACAAGATTGGAACCATTATCTTTCTGGTTCTTCAGCTCATGCTGCTGCTGCCATGTCAAGCTAATTCCTGTGTCCTGTTAGATAGGAGATTCTTGAGGAAATATCTTTATATTTTGGTTGATACTCTTTAAGAGTTCTCTGGCGCTGGGGATTTAGCTCAGTGACACCACACCTGCCTCACAAGTGTAAGGTACTAAGTTCGATCCCTGGTACCAAACAAAAAGAGTTCTCTTAGTGATTTGTTCATAGAAAACACTTATTTTTTTTATTCATAAATTTTATTGGTACATTTTATGTGTACAATATGCTGACATTCATTATTGGGAATTTTCACCTTTGCATAATATATCTTGGTTTTTATTTTTTTCCCCATTCCCCTGCCCTCCCTTCAAGGCTTCCACCCCTCCCCATTTATAAAAACTGTTAACACTCGTTTTAATATATTGGCAAGAAACTGAGGGCCTTGTTATTTTATCTAAGTCACGGTATTATAAAGGATCTCTGTGTTTATTATAAAGGAGTATAGAAGACCTAAATATCTTTTTTTTCTATCTAGGAAGAAGAAACAGGAAGGATAAAAGATTGCTGGGACAATCAGGAAGCGCCTGCACTCTCCACGTGTAGCAATGCCAGTATCTTTCGAAGGATAAATGCCATGGGACAATCAGGAAGCGCCTGCACTCTCCACGTGTAGCAATGCCAGTATCTTTCGAAGGATAAATGCCATATTGGACAATTCTTTGGATTTCAGTAGAGTCTGCACTACACCAGTAAATCGAGGAATGCATGATCATTTACCAGGTGATTTAGATTTGGAACCTTGGATGAAGTATGCTTGTGTGTAGACCTGCTTTTATTCTAAGCAGTGCCTTCAGTAGATCTTCCTTGGGAAGCATGTGGATAATGACAGCACTTGCCCCTTTTATGATTTGCTTTGTGGATTAGTATTCCCTTTGGGTGAAAACTGCCTTGTGATTAGAATGTAGAAATATATATTATGATATGCAGGAATATTAGATAAAATATGGGCCAAAAGTAGTAAAGGTATATATAAAACTATGATACAAATTATATTTTATTAGCCATATGAAAAAATAAAAGTTAATATTAAATGAATTTAATATTTTATTCAGCCTAGCATATATAAAACATCGCTAGGTCAACATGTCAATGTAAAAATGGTTAGTCATGTCTTTTTGTTCGTACTAAGACTTCAGAATCCAATCTTGTTTTACACTTACAGAATATTTTAGTTTGAGTAGCTTTGGTGGTTCAGTGGTAGAATTCTCACCTCCTAGAATATTACGAACTAGTTACATTTCACGTGCGCAGTAGCCACATGAGTAGTATTTTGGACAGTGTACCTCTTGCCTGTTTTAATAGCTTTTAAACATGAAGTGAGTCAACAGACTTTTTTAATGGTATGTAGGGTACTCAATAGATTGGTGGGACAGAGAGCAGCATTTCCTGAAGGTGACTTTTCCTAGTAAGGTGTACATATACTAACATGATTTCATAATCTTTTGTGGGTGTTAACAAGTTTTAAGAATGCTGATGGAATGTTTTTGAGTTGTTTTAGATGAAAGAATGTATTTTAAGTTTTTCAAATGGACTTTGAAAAGTTTGATGACAACAGGGATTCTCAGGATAAGGACTGATAATTATTGTTCTTTAGTTATGTTTTTTATTTATTTTTCAACTTAAGTCTTAGAAATCCCATGAAGATGCAGCATTATGTGAGAAGTAGCTAAACATTTGAAGGAGATCTTAAACTATTACATTTATGTCTTCTAATATCCAGAAAAAGAGTAGATATAAATTATAAGATGACTCTATTCTACATTAACTTATGCTGTGTTAAAACTTCAAGGAGTCTTCTTGGTTCTAATACATGTTCTGTTTTTTAATCTGTTGAGAAAATTTCACAGATTATATTTTAGTAAAAATGATGATTGGGCTGCAGATATATGTAGTTAGGTGGTAGAATATGTGCAGGGCCTTAGCTTGTGCAGGGCCCTCAGTTGATCCCCAGCACTCTCCCCCAAAAGACAATCAGGAATGACCTGCATTTCACAGGATACTTCACACATGCTGGAAATTTTTGTAGTTTATAGAAAAGTCTTTTTAGCTAGTTGTTGAACTGTCTAGACAAAGTCCCATGCTTGATGAATGTGGAGCTTTCAGGAGTGCATGTTGCAGTTGGTAAGGAAGCTCAGTGGCCTCACTGGCGAGATCCCTGTCTCTTGTCATTACACTCTGTCAGGTCATAGGCTGGCTGAACTATAAAGTATGCTCTTCTCAAACCCAGACTTTTCTCAGCACACATATATAAGAAGTACAATGGGAAGAGTACGTTGAAAAATTGGGAGATCTAACTTCTAAGCTTGATGTTGAGCAGTGAGATAGAGGTCAATTTTCCCGACTGTATAACAAAATGTTACCTGCCCAACCTGGCTCACAAGTTTTTTTTTCTGTGGGTCATAATGAGTCAGTACTGCAGATTTAAGGGAACCCCAAACATTGTGGAAAAGGTGTCTGTCAAGGTAGCTGGTATTCAGAGCCCTTCAACTGCACTGAGCTCCACTCTATGGTTAGCACTCCATACTTCCCACCTAAGATGTCAGCTGAGGCCTATGATCCCTTGCTAATAAATGGTGAAACAGGAATATCTGGCCTACAGTGAGCCTCTTCTTGCTGTTTCTCAACAAGAACCACTTCCAGGCCAGCAGAAATGCAAACCCTATGGTGATAAGGAAGTAAGCTAGGGGGATGTATTTTCATGAGCATCTTAAGAAACAACCTGAACTTGTATCTTTTGATGAAGATGAATTTTGTTACCTAATAACCAAGATTGTAAAAATTTGAGATTGTTTATAACAGCATTATAACTAGGGAAAATGTACCATTAAATATGATGTTTGTAGAAGACTTTTTTCTTTTTGGTACCTGGGATTGAACTCAGGACCTTGCGCTTGTGAGGCAGGTGCAGTGCCACTGAGCTAAATTCCTGGCCCCATAGAAGACTTCTTAATGGAAAAGAATGATAATCACAGTATCTGGAATGAAAAAGGCAAAGTACAGAACAGTATGCCCCAAATGTATGCATAAACATTAGAGAAAGACTAGCATGATTTACCTATAACAAGAACATCTTTTTTGTGTATCTTTCCCACCAGGCTCTGTGATTTTATGATTAAAAATGTTTTAAAATGGTATATCCCACTGTTTCTATTGATATTTGCATTTTGCGTAGATCTGATTTTATTTTCTCACTGGACTTTGACAAAGTAAAAGGTCATGTCTTGGTAATATTTTATTCATATTCAGTTGTCATAATTAAAATTGCACAGTTAATTTGTTTTACCCAGACATGCCTAAATTTGCAAAAGTTACATGTTAACTTTTTTTCATTTGAACAAATATTTGAGTGTAAGTTATTTGCAGGGCTGTATGCTAGCTGTAGCAAAATACTATATTGAATACTATGTAATGAAGAGTGGTGACAGAAGTACACACTCAAACCATTCTTGGAAAACTGCTGTACACAATCAAAAGAGGGAATATTAGGGTAGTAGAAAAACTTTTGGGGAAAATAGCACTTGAAATAGGTCTTTAAAGTGAGTTATAATTATTTCACAGTGTAGCTAAATATTGAGAGAGAGAGTGTGTGTGTGTGTGTGTGTGTGTGTGTGTGTGTGTGTGTATATATATATGTTTTTTTTTTCTGTTAACCTAGAATTGGCCATGAGGGGCCAAAGCTCAGAATGAAGATGTGTTAAGTAACCCATAGTGTAATAAAATTCCTTAAGTGGGGCCAGCTGGGAATATATATAGCTCAGCAGTAGTATTCGCCCTGTATGTGGGAGGCTATGGATTCAATACTCAGCACCGAAAAAAAAAGTTGGAGGGGAGTAGCAGAGTGCAGATAACTCCCTATGGAGTTTACCAAAAAGCCACAAAACAGTTTCTGCTGTCACAAACACCTCTTCCCCTGGTGTTATGGCTTGTATCTAGATATCCCACCAGAGCTTCATGAAATTATACATGGGGATTTTCAGAGGTTGGCTGGATGTAGGGTGTGTGCTCCTAGGATCAAGGGTGTGATGCTGGGATTGACTCATGGTGCCATGCTAGGAGTGCTGCCAGCCCAAAGGGTAAGAGTAGGCTGGATAAGATATAAGGGACAGGAAGAAGATCACTGATTATCACTTGTTGCTTGCTGCCTGCCATGAACTGTTTATCCTCTGCCATGACACCCTACCTTGGACCAGCCTACTGTGGACTGAAACCTTTACAAACTGTAAGCCCAAATAAACCTTTCTTCCCTTAACTTTGGGTGTTGGGTATTTTGTCTTAGCAACAGGAGAAGTAACTAGACACCTTGTCTGTGCAGTACACAAAGACCATACAGGGAGGGAAGCATATGAAATGATTCTCACCTCCTCTCAGTGGAGGAGGGTGGAGAGGGATGCCATTTCTTTTAAGGCCAAGGAAGGGGGGAAGGTCTTCTAAGAGAAGAATTTATATAGATTGAGGATGCTGCCAAGAAAGAGGGCAAGGTTCAGCTCCTGGATGGACAATGGATTTCTTATCTTCCCCTAAGGAAAGACGAGCAAGAAATTGAAAGAAAATAGGGTAGGAAAAAAGGGTAGTTAGAAATGTCTAAATCCCTCCAATTTACACACAAGATCTCCTACAGGGCATGGTGTCCAATGTGTATAATCCCAGTACTCTAGAGGGTCAAAAGTTTCAACCCACCCTGAGCACCTTGTCTTAGACCCTATCTCAAAATAAAAAAGAGCTGGGGATACAGCTCAGTGCAGAGGTCCTGGGTTCAATCCTCAGTACCACAAGAAAGAAAAGTTACAACCTTCTGCAGTTTAGGAGGGTTCTGTAAAACACCTGAGATTTTGGTTAATATCCCAATAAGGCCCATGTTGCTGAGAGGTAATGGGAGCTGGGAAGGGTCACGTTCTTTTGAGGTTGCCTGCTACTTAGCCCTTCTGTAGTTCCGAAAGCACAACTCTGTTGGGAACTGGAGGAAATGAGCTTAAATGGACATGTGATTAAAGCATTAATGAACTGAGTTTTTAGTAAGTTTCTATAAAGGTGTGAAAGTAAGGTACTGCTAAGGAGCATCTTAACTGCTAGATGGATAGAGAAATTTAATACACAGTATACAGTAATGTGGCTGGTAGTGACCACTGGAGAAAAAAGTTTTGTGTTAACTTACTTAAATGAGATTTAATAACCAGTCAAAATAGTTGAGAAGTTTTAGAAGAAGAATTGATTAGCCAAAGTACATAATTCAAAGTAACATATAAGACTAATGTATTATGCTGATTTTAAAGTTTCTTTTTCCTTTAGTAGTATGATACCCCTACAGGATAGCACATTTCTTGGATGAAGAGCTCTCACTCTTAAACCCCAGTTTAAATGGTCTGTGACTTTTCAGGAAGAAAATTATTATATAGCTGTACAGTTGTATAGTTGTAGCCTGATAATGAACCTCTGGTCTTCTTTTTTATTCTGCAGGATTATAAGCCATATACATTTAATCACAGGTAATAGGAGACGACTGAAATTATTCTCAGTAATTCTTTTCCCATAAAATAAATTTCTATGGAACATTAATGGTTTGACCTTAACTGTTAAGTGATAAAGATTTAACTTTCCTTATTTACTTTCTTTTCCTTTTTTTTCTTTTTTCCCAGTACCAGGGATCGAACTCAGGACACTGCGTTTGCGAGGCTAAATCTTTGACCAAGATTTAACTTTGTATTGAAGTATAACATGCTATC